TTGTAAATCTGTTTGAGTTCTTTGTAAATTCTGGATATCAGCCCTTTGTCAGATGGGTAAACTGCAAAAATTTTTTCCCATTCTGTTGGTTGCTGATTCACTCTAATGACTGTTTCTTTTGCCGTGCAGAAGCTGTGGAGTTTGATTAGGTCCCATTTGCCTATTTTGAACACTCCAATCTTTTCGCCACCTAAAATCGACGTTTCCTTCAAGTTCCATGTATTTTCAAACTCAATGTAATGCTTCTTCCTTTCTCTGAATTCTCATAGGATTTTGTTATTCAACGGTTCCCTTCTTCCATTGTGATCATAGGCAGTAGGAAAGCTTGGCAGAGAATATTGTCTTAGAATCCTTTAGCAAAGTTGTCATAAGCAAGAATGTATTTTCTCAGCAAAAATAAGATTAATTCATTCATTTACTCATTCATCTAATCGTTCACTTCTGAGCTTTGTGAAAAAAAGACATGGTCTGTCAGAGTGTGTAAGGCCAGTGCCTGGGTGACTTTCCATGCCACTGCTCATCATGGACCCTGGGTATCCTGGCCCTGCTGTGCAGCAGCCTGGTGGCACTTGATACAAGGATCAGGCCTGGCTGTGGGAGGAGCTGGTACAGGACATGGAACACCCATTCACAGTGAGAGAGCTACATCATACAAGACTTACTCTGATGCCCACTCAGCTTGATGGTGGACCTCTCCCAGAGGATTCATCCCAACTAGGGGATTAAAAACCCCAACACCAGCCCGGCGCAGTGGCACACACCTGTAATCCCAGCACCTTGAGAGTCCAAGGCAGGCAGATCATGAGGTAAAAAGATCAAGACCATCCTGGCCAACATGGTGAAACCCTGTCTCTACTAAAAATACAAAAATTAGCTGGATATGGTGGTGCACACCTGTAGTCGCAGCTACTCTGGAAGCTGAGGCAGGAGAATTGCTTGAACCTGGAGGTGGAGGTTGCAGTGAGCCAAGATCGCACCACTGCCCTCCATCCTGGTGACAGAGCAAGACTCCATCTCAAAATGAATAAATAAATAAATAAATAAACAAACCCAACACCCTCACAGGTAATATGCTTCAGTGTCTTAAGGGAAGGGAATTGTCTGCCAAAACTACCTTTCCTTCAATATCTCCTCAGGGGACAATCATGAGAAGGTTCCAAGAGTTGAGCTCCATGTGTTCAAACTCTGGCATCTGCACAAGAACCTGCCCATGGCCAGGACTTCCATTATCACAGGGTAAAAGTTCCTAAGATCATGGATCTATGCCAGGGTCAGAGTGAGGAAGCTTACTTTCAACCAGGAATTTCCCTCTGACCCCTGAAGACTGGCTCAGATGGTGAGCAACTGGATCCTGAAAACATCTCAGCCCAGAGCTTTCTGGGACAGACTGTGAAGCCACTAAATTATAGTTACCACATAAACCATTGGGAGGGGATCACAGTGAAAACTGGAACTCCATACTGGTCCTCTACCAACAAGGGAAAGATGCTGGGGTTGCTGAAAGGACTATGTGTCTCTGCCATTATGCTGTATTTAGCCTCAGAGCTGGAGAGTCTCTCCCAGGCAGAACTATCTGCAGACTTTGTCTTAACTACTACAGGCAGTGGCCCCAGAGTGAAGTACACAGCTTGAAAGAAGCTGTGGTTGTCATAAGTGTCTGTTCTGCATGATATATGTCATATATCATATGTCATATAGTAGGCACTCACTATAGTAGGCATGATATATGTCATATATCATATGTCATATAGTAGGCACTCACTATAGTAGGCATGATATATGTCATATAGGCACTCACTATGCATCAAACTTTTAAAAAATGAATGGATCGAGGCATCTGCACTCATTCAATCTCTCAAAGGCCATGTAGGAGTTTTTCAAAGCTGGGAGAATAACTGCATTTCTTTTGTGCCTCCCAACTTTCATCTCAGGCATTTAGTTTACAAACATCTTGTCTTGGGCCAAAGTTTTTAACACATCCTTTGCCTGCCCCACCTTCCTGCGGTTGGCTGTGAGGTGGGAGTTGTGTGTGGTTGCCTTGGGACTGGTCATTCAGATAAGTGAAATGAAGACTCTTAACATCATTCCCACTCTAGGACATGGGGTATGGTTCAGAGTGGAGGAAGAGGCAGATTTGGAAGCTGGAGTTAAAAATCTGGTTGAAGCCTACTAGTCTCATCTGGGAGCTCTCTGCCTAGGCCAAGTCCAGGCCTTGGCTTTCTCTCCTGGGCCAGTTCTAGAGGGGAGGATGGGGTGGAGGGAGAGACAGAGTAGGTGGAAGAGATCTAAGCATGGTAACTGGAGCTAGATTCCCCAGCTTTCTAGTGTCGTGGCTTTCACCAGCCTTCCTATGCCTTAGTCTACTATAAATGACAGAGACCTGGGTCCCATCTATGCAGGTCCAAGTGATAGGGCAACTGCTTTCCCCATGCAGCTGAGGCTGGGTCTGGAAGAAAAAGGTCATTTTGATAGTTACCATCCCTCTCTTTGATGGTCCTGCCTGAGTTCTAGTTGAGAATGCCAGGGCTCTAATTAAACCAGAACCAGAGCTCTTATCTTGTCCTTAAGTTTTGTCTGTGTTACCAAGTGGTAGCAAAAGAAAATGTCTTCTGCTATGGCCCAATGTGGATGTACAGCATGATTTAGATTTAAGTGAAGCACACTGAAGCAATTAATGACTCCTGATAACAAATCTCTCTCTCTATGACATCATGAAGAAACCATTTCTTTGAAAATTTTAAAAAGAATATGACCTACACATTCATCTGCAGGGAAGTAGCAGATGAATGACAATCTATTCACTTATCCATTCAACACAAGCAAACTAGAGTCATCTTTTAAAACAAAGATGTAGAATATGGAGGAAAACTTTATATCAATAGCTTTTCTGTGCATTTCAGTTTATTGTGTTTACTGTGTTCAGTTTATTATGTTCCAATGATTGCAACTGGAGCAGTCAGTCCTGTTGCCACCCCTCACCCAACTCCTCCATTACTTTCAGGTAGGGCAAACACCAGCTAATCTCCCAATGTGCAACATTCTTTTGTTCTTCAGAGTCTATTTTCCTACCTATATTGTTAGCACTTTAAAATAAAAACTTGTGTCTTGCCCTTCATTTGTAGGAATTTTTAGCACATGGCTGGTTTCAATAAATACTTGGGAGCTCACCAGTATTCCTCACTCACCAAAATTATTTCATTATTTATGCTTACATTGTATAATTATCAACCAACCAGCATAAATCAAAATAACTGTCTTTCAATTGGCTAAATAGATTTGTTAACACAGTGAAGAATTATTCACCAGTAAATGAATTAGCTTAATTTGTTTAAGTGCAGATCATAGATGAAACATCATGTACCCATCATTTTAAGGTATTGATACAAACAAGAGATAAAGTCAAATGAAGGCCATGAATCCAGGGCTGCATGAAGGACAAGTTAATTTAAAAGCAGAGCAATCAGTTCAGCACTGTGCCAGCTGCCATGAGGGATAACGAAAGCACAGTTCCCCTGTCTTCAAGGAGCTTTGAATCAAATGCAAGAGTCTAGATATGCATGGCAATTAGGAAAAAAACACAGACACTACAGATTCAAAACAAAATATATGAAATAAACCAACCTTTTCAGATAAAAACATTTCTTTTAAAATGATAGATTTTGATTTGGGTATATTAATACGTGAAATCACCAAATGCATTTATTAAATCAGAAAACTATATACAACTAATTTTTTTAAATTTCAATATCTAAATTATAAATCATAAATTATTCAATATCTCAGAGATAAGGACTGTTACTATTTTGGTATATGTCTATTTAGAATCATTTTTGTTCAAATAATTGGCAATTTAAATAAAACAAGTTTACACCATAACATAGTTTTTAAGTTATTTACATTTAAAAATATATTATGTACAAAAATCAAAATACGCTTACCAGCACTAGATAATACAAAGACGGGGAGGATATATGGTGGTGAAAGAGTCACAGTCTAGAACAATCTAAAACGATCTTGGCAACACAGTAGGAGGGTCAAGCTAACAAGATTAAATTTAAACAGGGATACTTTTAAAGTCCTGAGCTTAGATTGAAGAACTTTAGGTCTTCGTTGCCTGTAAATATTTCTTGGCTTTCAAAATGCTGATAGAACCTAGGCTGTCTCAGCAAAAGCCTATGTCCATAAGAGGAGGGGAACATCTCTCTTTAGGCTGTGCTGGTTTGACCATATACTGAGTTCTACACTCAGTTTTATAACCAATGTTGGTCAGAGGACAGTAAACAAGGTGAAAACTATGTCAAGTGAGTCATAATTGCAACAATTAGAAGTGCTTAGCTGTAGAAGAGGAGACTTTAGGCTCTGTGTGTGTATGCGTGTGAATTCTTGTTCACACATACAAACAGCTATCCTGTGAAAGAAGGATTTGATGCATTCTACATAACTTCAGAGGGCAAAAATGGTTGGACAACTCTGAGACAATCCTCACAGCATCCTAGAAGAAATAATTATATAAACATCTAGGCATACAACAATGAACCAGACGCCTTTGTGGTGAGGAGTTCCCCTTTCTCTGAAAATACTTAAGCATAGGTAGAAACTGTACAGAGATTCCTGCCACTGGACTTGAAGAATCCTGTGGTCCCTCCCAACTCTAAAGATTGTAAGACAGGGTGAAATAATATCACCAAACCAAACAAATAACTTACACTTGATTTGTGGATTGGTGCATGTGTGTATGTTTGAGTAGAGTTGACCCTTGAACAATATGGGAATTAGTGTTGCTCACTAACACTAATGCCCAGTGGAAAATCTAACATGTCACTTTTGACTCCCCCAGAACTCAACTACTAATAAATACCCTACTGCTGATTGGAAGCCTTACTGATCACATAATCGACTAACACATATGTTGTATATGTATTATATACTGTATTCTTATAATAAAGTGAGCTAAGAAAAACTGTTATTAAAAAATCATAAGGAAGAAAAAATATACTTACTAATCATTGATCCAAGTGAAGGTGGGTCATCATAAAGGTTATTATCCTCATCATTTCATGCTGAGTAGGCTGAGGAAGAAGAGGAAAAGGAGGGGTTGGTCTTGCTGTCTCAAGAGTGACAGAGGCAGAGGAGGTGGAGGAAGTGGAAGGCACAGCAGGGGAGGCAAGTACACTTGATATAAGAAAAAACTGACATGTAAGTGAACTTATGAAGTTCAAACTTGTGTTGTTTAAGTATCAAGGGTATACAGACGTACAAAATTATATACACTTTCAAATACTTGCATCTAGGGAACTTTCTTTTAAAAATATATCTTGAGCTTAAATCTAAAATCAGTTGCCTGCTTACTTCTCCATGATGTAGAAGAGAAAGACAGACTGAACTTGAATTCCGGTTGTCCTTTATTCCAGCAGTACAACCTTGAGAAGTAAGGTTAAACTTTGAGTCTTATCACACTTATTTCAAAAATAAGAACGCAACAGAGACTCAAAGGAGCATTGGGAAGATCATGTGACTTATGCTATCACACTGTCTGATGCATATCAGTTATTTAATATATAGTAATTATTATTATTATTACTGTTATTATACTGGCCTTTGTCTTCCTTTTCCTCCCTTTTCTCCCCAGAGTCTCTTCTCATTGTCCAACTTTATCTTTCAAGACGCTGTTGGCTTATGTCTGTGTCAATACTCATCTATCTCATCTCTCCTATGATTCTGGAAGTGGTGTTTAAGGAAGATTAGAACGGCAAGGGTGTGTGGAGTATAAAATGTAAACATGACGGTGTAAGAGAGAAAAGTGAAGGAAAGAGTGCCAGAGAAGCAGAACAGGCCAGTTCTTTCCCCACCTCCAATCCCTGTGTCCTCTCCCCACCTCCCTACACCCCAAAAAAGAGAAACAGGAAAGAAGGTCAGTGGAGGGAAAGATACTGTCAAAAGAACAGAAGTGGAAACATTGGATCAAGGCAGGATCCCACACTGGAAGGGGCCAGAAGGAAGTGAGAAGCAACAGACAAATCGCCAGGCCTCGAGTGAGTGGGATGAAAAAGATAGATGGTCTTAAAAAAAGATAACTAATGAGTCTCCGATAACTTCAATTTTCTGGGCCTTGGTGAGCTCTGCCTAATCTTCAATTAAATGGAAATATAAATAGCTGAGAAAGAAGCCAGTGGATGGGAACTGACATAATGGACTATATTGACTCTCTGAGAGATATAAGGGACCTTCTTAAAAGCATAATATTTTACACGATCATTTGTCAGGCTTCCTCTGGGCGACTGATCTCCTTTGGGGGAGGTAAGTGGATTGGCTAATCTTAGTGTTTTGTTTAAAGTGCACCCTGCATTGTGCTAGAAATCAGTTTGCTTCACTGAGTAGACAGGGAGAGGGAAGGAACACAAACACACCCACCGCTCTTTCTTTCTCCTGAGAGGCCTTGTTAGCCGATTGCCCATCTGAAGATCCAGCAACCACTTTTCTCCACCTGCCATTATAACTTATCACCTTCTCCATCAGAGCCCTTGTTTGAAGGAACCAAATTGTTCTTACCTTCCTGCTCTCACAGGGTGGAAATAACCCACAGACCATCTAGGCATGTACCCCATTGATATCACCTCCTCACTCCACCCCAATTGTCTACCCATAGAAAGAGGCTTAGCTCCATGAACTTGGCTCTTTTATTTCTGTACTTAGTGCTGGGGGTGTCCCTGACTCCCGGCCTGCAGTAATCCTCCCCTTTCTTTCTCATTATTGTCTTCACCAACAGTTCTCCAGATTGTCAAAAAACCCAAATCCGAAGGTCCAGGAAGAATTTCCAGGATCAGGGCCCGAGGATCTGTAATTTCACAAGTTAAGAGTTGATTTAAATGCATAAAATAGTTGGAGCACCACAGGGCGCTGAGTGATTTCTTTAGGACTTACTCTACATTGCTATGTCTTCCTGCATGTTAACTTTTCACGAGTTGGGCCTAGCCACCAAAAGTGAACTATGATTTCCTTCTTAATATTCCCCTTCCCTTGCACATTGAGAGGTGCCCAGAAAATGTCTGCTGGAGATGATGCTAGGATAATTTGAGTTTTGGTGTTAATTTTAATAGCAGCAGGTTGAGGACATGCTGGTTTTTCATGACTCCATCTTACTAACATCACAAAACCTACCCATCTCTTAGCACTGAGCCCTTGAAGATTTGTCCTAGGGATTGGAATGTTTCGAACTTCCTACCCAGGTTTCCTTCCCAGCTTGTCCGTCCTCCCCACATCTAATGCAATCATGCTAACGATCTGTCACTACCAACAGCAACTTAACTCCCTGAGGAGAAAAAAAATCACCTGGTGACCATTGAACAGGCTCTGGGGACAAAAACTCCTTGCAAAATTCCTCATCTAGGGAAAAGTTGAAGTAATTAGACTTTTCTGTTATCTAAAGCAAGCATCTCACTCCAGATTTCTTCCCCCGCCACTGCCACTGAACAAATTAATAAGTGACTAAAATTTCTATACGTCTCTGGAATGCCATGCAGACCTTAAGCTCCCACTTTAAGGCCCATAAATACCCCTAAGAAAACTCCAAGGCGGGGCTCAGTCCTATGGCTGAGCACCCCACTGCACTCTTCTGCAGCATTCTTTCTTTCTTATAAACTTCCCTTTTTCAAACCTATACTGTTGTCGGTAATTTTTTTGGCCAACCTGTGAGTAAACTGCTTTCCAATGCCACGGCTCTGACACCTCGCCTGGCACACCCAGTGCTTCTGACACTACCTCTGTGAAATGATTTTTGAGGGTGACAATTACCATATGACCAAAGTTTTCATCTAGGTTCTTCATTCTCTCCTATCGCTTCATCTCCCAAGAGAAGAGAAATCTAGAGAGAGGACAGAGACAAAGGTCCTGAAGCAGATAAAAAGCCGTCTTTGATTAGAAACTGTGAGGGTCCAATTTATCTCAACTTAACTGGGCTAAGAGATGCCCAGGCAGTGGGTAAAACATTATTTCTGGATGTGTCTGTGAGGGCATTTCCAGACAATATTAGCCTTTGAATCAGTAGACCGAGTGAAGAGGATCTGCCCTTACCAATGTAGGTGGGCGTCCTCCAATCCATCAGATGCCAGAATGGTACAAAAGATGGAGGAGTGGATTTTCTCTCACTCTTCTTACACTGGACCATCCATCTCCTCCCCTCAGATATCAGAGATCCTGTTTCTCAGGCCTTTGAACTCCAGAGCTTATGTCATCAGCTCTTCTGGTCCTTCCACTTGTAGACAGCATATTGTGGGACTTCTCACCCACCATAATTGTGTGAGCCAATCCTGCAACAAATCTCCTATCTATCTATCTATCTATCTATCTATCTATCTATCTATCTATCTATCGTCTAATGTATCATCTTCTGTCTAATCTATTTCCATCTACCTCATTTATCTATCTTTTATCTATCTATCTATATCTAAACAAATCTCCTCTTTATCTATCTTCTATTTATCATCTTCTATCTAATCTATTTTCTATCTACTTCATTTATCTACCTTCTATCTATCTATCTATCTGTCTATCTTTGTCTATCTATTTCTATCTATGTATATCTATCTATCCATCCATTCATCCATCCCTATCTCCCATTGTTTATTTCTCTGGAGAACTCTGATTAATATAGGAACAGACCACATAGCTCCAGTGAAGTGACTAAAGAGGTTGATCACATAAACCCATGAAGAAAGAGGACATATTTGTTGGAAAATAATTAATTCTTAGGTCATATTCATCTACAGTTTCATTTTGTGAATGGGGAATAAATAACTTCGAGGTAATTTGAGATATATAAAAGCAGTCTCAAAGTCTGAGCTGACAATATTAAACATATTTTTCTGTAAAAACATAAAATATTTGATTGGGTACAAAGTGTTTTGTGTCTGACTCACATTTTCACTCAGACTGTGGCTCCACTGTAAGTTGGAACAATTCCCTACAAGTCCATCTGCACCCCAATGAGGACAGAGGTACAAAATGCAAGAGTTGATTTTCTCTTTCACTTTCTTGTCACTTAATTTCTATTTTCAGTAAACAGAAAGGCTGGTGGCTATTTACAATTAATATAGTTTCAATACAAAAATTCTTACCAGCTGACCCAAAAGTTTACTTCCAGGATGCAGGTGAATTGCCATCTGTGAAGATTTACCAGCTCTAAATCCTACCCGTGCTGCACTGAGTCCAGTGCCAATCTTAACAAATAGGAGTGCACACTCCCTTTGCATTCTTTGCTTTGAAACCCTCAAATAAAGGCATGTCATTTTTTTCTCTTTCCTGCACTCAATTTGCCATTTCTACTTCCAGTTCTGAAGTAGAACTCTTTTCCCCACCTCTGTCTTTCTTTAAATTCTACCTGTATTTCAAAGCTTGGTTCCAGCGATATCTTTTTTTACAAGGCTTTCTCCAACAACTTATCCTCACAATGATTACCCCATGTTCTTTTAAATAAGACATTACTGAGTCAACTACACAGATGAGCTCTCTGGTCTTTATTTCTGGTGTTTGTGCTTTGTCTCTTCAAGTAGATGCCACTATGTCTAGATTTTGATATCAGACAGGCACATCTTCCCACAGACTGGTTTCGTGACCTTAGGCAAGTTACTTCTCAATGCTTCAGTTTTCTCTCTCTAAAATGAGGAGAATGTAACACCCCATAGAGAATTACAGTGAGGACTGACTAAAGTAATTGTTCATTAAGTGTTAGATATTATTGATGTTAAACAGTTCCTTACAGAGGTGTCTGGCTCAATATCACAGTAACGTGGCCTCGCAGTCCACATGTAAGCCTCTAATTGGCATGACCTTTTTCTCCAGCACCTGATCTAGTCTGTTAGCTTTCTAGAAAATTCTCAAAGCTCATGGTAGAAGAAAGTTTCACCATATATACACAAGACACACGATATACACACACACTTATAGATATCCATATACATCTTCCTACTTTCTAAAATTATTTAAGATGGAAACTCAAGTTGTCAAACAAAAGGAAACTGGTTCCCAAGAAATACAGGCACATTACTTGGGCAATCCCCTGTACCTACTGAAAGTGCCATCTGGGCTGCTTCAGAAGTTATAATCCTGGAAATTGCATTATTGTACTTGACTTGGAACAAAAATCTTTAGTTGTTCTTATCTAGCTTTATTTGTAGGCAGCCTAACAGATGTGCAGGGGTAGAAGCCTCTGTCCAAAACACTTCCCTCATTTATTGTGGAAGTGCTAATGGGGACTTACTGCTCTGGGATAAGGCTGCAGATATCTTTATTAGAGAAAAAACATCTATGGTGTTGTTAGGACTTAATTATACCCCCCTCCATTTCATATCTTGAAGCCCTAATCCCCAGTATAACTGTGTTTGAAGATATGGCCTTTAAGGAGGTGACTAAGGTTAAATGAGGTCATACGGGTGGGGCCCTACTACAATATGACCCATGTCCTGATACAAGACAGACACCAGGAATGTGCACTCAGAGAAAAGGCCATGTAAAGACACAGCAAAAAGGTGCTGTTTGCACACCAGGAAGAGAGGCCTCAGGAGAACCACACCCTGACAGCACCTTGATCTTGAACTTTTAGCACCTAGAACTGTAAGAATATTAATTTCTGTTGTTTAAGCCAACAAGTCTGAAATGCCACAGATATACATTCTCCATGTTAACGAAAGTGTCTTCAAATAGACCAACGAGTGAGACCCCGGACAGTCACCACAGAGAGCAGCTGAAGCACTGAAACTCAAAACAGGCCGGTTTAGCTGGAAGAAAGTAGATGGGAAAGCCCATTTCGGCATAGGGACTGTTGTCAAGGGAAGACATATAAGAACAAGGTGCTGGAGTGGGCAGCCCTGGGCAGTTGTTTTTTCTAGGGGCACTGGGGCTTCTGCAAATGAGAGGGTTGGAGGCTGCAGGTTCAAGACAGCCCTTCTCTTGCAATGCACTCTGACCATGGCAACACTGTACCAGGGGAATGATCAACCATAACCAGAGTGCTGTGTCCGAATATCTATTCAGCAGACTATCTCAACAGACCCTGAGCCATGCTGTCTGCAGTCTCTTGAAATGTTTTAGAAAAATACAGTCAGCAGAATTCCTGGGGATGATGAGGTCAGGGTTTGAAGGGGGTCAGGACACAGAGTATGGTGTTTGGAGAATTTTTTAACTGTTTTTATTCCACCATTGCTTTTCCAAGCACATCTAAACACCACCCACATGCCACTCCCATACGATGATCCTGGTTTGGTAGCCCAGAGACCTGAGTTCAAGACCTACCTAAGGGCTGGGTGCCATGGCTCATGCCTATAATCCCAGCACATTGGGAGGCCAAGGTAGGAGTATTTCTTGGACCCACGAGTTCAAGACCAGCCTGGGCAACATTACAAGATCTCATCTCTACAAATAGTAATAAAAATAAAAATTAGCCAGGCAGGGTAGCATGTACCTGTGGTCACAGCTACTCAGGAGGCTGAAGTAGGAGGATCACTTAAACCTGCGTGGTCAAGGCTGCAGTGAGCTATGATCACACCACTGCCCTCCAGCCTGGGCCACAGAGTGAGAATTACACACACACACACAAAAAGACATATATATGTGAAACTCTTCTAAATGCGTTGCTTTTAAAATACAACACTACAAGTTTTCAATCTCGCAAGACCATAGTTCCTTCTTTCTAAAAGTGCATTAATTTTAGGTGGTGAGGTGTACAGAGAACCCAAGGCCACAGTGTGAATATGAAGCTGTATTCTGATCTCTACACTCCCTGCTCCCTTTGTGGCATTTGGCATCCATGCCTCTTTCCTGTCTAGGTCTCAATTTCCTTGTCTATAAATAATGGGAATAAACTTTATCATTTATAAAATCCCTGCCAATTCTAGCACTCTGGTATGCTATTAAAAAACATCCTTGAGGGCAAAGAACACTGTGTGTGTGTGTGTGTGTGTGTGTGTGTTTGTGTACACATGCGTGCTTGCATCTTTTTAGCTCTGCAAGAGGTAGAATGAGCAAAGCAGCTTGTTCACTAAAATGGCACAATCGTTCTTGCTTTGATTTGTTTGACTATAAGCAGCACTCATCGCCACAGCACCTCTACCCACACATTAAATATTATCAATCAGCAAAATGTGTAATGTGAGGTTAACAGTGAAAATATGCATGTGGAGTAGAGAAAAACCCACTCAGGGCTACTCAGAAAAAGTAGGTCCTAAATTGCAAATGCCAAGAAAAGAAAAAGAAATCCATTCCACTTGCCCCTCTGGCTTCACTGAAATGCCAGGGCACAGCCCAGGCATCCTGAGAACTTGGAACCACACAACAGGGTGCATTCAGTGCTCCAGAGTCATCCACTGCCCCACATGCTCTGGTGCCAAGATACAACGTACATGCCAGTCCCTGAATTACAGTCAACCTGAAGCAGCATCCACTGAAGATTAAATCAAAATTTACCAGGTAAAACCTAAATGTGGTAAACATTCCAACAGGACAATGTGGGAAAGTGTATTAAATGAAAAACGAAGAGAAAAGTTTAGGGGAAAAGAAAGGTTCAGCCAAAACAAGGCAGCCATTGGAATTTACCGAGTGGCTCCTTTAATTAAGGACGGTCTTCTTAAATTACGTTCATTTCTCTTACCCTTTTCAGGGCAGTCCAGGGTGAATAATATGTTTGTTTCTGGCTGAAGAGGTGCCAAGTTGAAGGCAGTTTTTGGTTAATAAAACTGGTCAGAAACCAAGAGAAACTAGTTTGATCTTGCTCCTCAAGAATGAGAGAACCTATTAATTCATAGCAGTTTCATTATAACGCATATTCAGGACAATTGAAAAAAAGAGTAAATAGTATTTCACCCTTCTTTTCTGTTCCTTGAGCCTCCTTCCAACTGGCTTACCACAGGACTAATACTAATGTTTAGCATAGCCTGTGCACAGATGCCAGGAAAATCATTCCAGAAATTCTCTTATATTTTTCCAACTCAAAAACTAGCAATGTTTTTCCATTATCTATTTTTAAAAGTCCCCATTCTTCATTTTTTAAAGATAGGATCTTGCTGTATTGCCCAGGCTGATTTCAAACTCCTATGTTCAAGCAATTCTCCCATCTCAGCCTCCCCGAGTGCTGGGATTACAGATATGAGCCACTGTTTCAGTCCAGAAATTCCCATTCTTGATTCTGATAGTTAGAAGTTTGAGGAGTCAATTGCTTTATCCCCCCTACCCTCATTACCCATCCCCAAAGCTTAACCCAATTTATTCTCAACATGGCCCTTGGGTGCCAACCAGACTATCTTCTTCAATATTACCCATGATCACAGACTTACCCGTTACTGTGCCCTCATGGATGCTGGTTTCTATTTTATTTGTCCAATTCACTGCTTTGCCATCAACTCCTGGCAGAGAACCAGGCATGTAGAAGGTACATGACAAGTACACGCTGAAAAAAGAAAGAATGCAACAGGAATAGACAATGGATCCTAATTATCTCTAGAAGGCCACCTCAAGTGTAGCCTGCTCCATGAATCCTTCGGCTCTCTACCACACACTAACCTTTTCCGTCCTTAATCCGTTGAGGATGAATTTGACTGCTTCTTGTTTTTCTCACAGTGCCTAACCAAAAGCGAGTCTCTTGGTGGGTTTCTCTAATTTTCCATTTGAAGAAAAAAACAGAAGTCAGTACCTAAAAGACCTGGTTGCCGTATTTCCCTTTCACTGCTATCCAAGATGTTTTACTTAAATGATTTTCCTTTTCTTTCTCTGATTTCTGTGATGTGGTCCTTATCTGCTCTCCCTGTGCTCTCTCTGCAGTTTAGTGCTGCATTCGGAGGACAGGGTTGGAACCAGATTGTCTTGGCTCACAGCCCAGATGTGGAATTTCCTAACTCTGTGACCTTGGGCAAGTTACTTAACTTCTCTGAGTTCTCAGTTTTCTCATCATAGACTTGTTATGAAGGTTAAATAAATTAAACTGCTTTGAACATTGCCAGGTACATAAAATGCCAAATACATATGACCTTTGATTATGCCGTAGCCACACTGGTCTTCTCTTCGGTAGAACACACCATACCCCTTTCTACCCCAGAACTTTCACGTATGTTATTCCTCAGTACCTGAAATCATTTCCTTGCGCATTCTTTCCCTTCAGGTCTCAAGTTAAATGGCACATTGTTCGGGATGCCTTTCTTGACTCATATGCAGTCTAGGTTAGGTCTCTTCTAATTTGTTCCCAAAGCTCCCTGCATATCAGCATGAAACTAGTCACATTCACAATTTTTGTTCAAAGATTATTTCCTAGGTTAACAAGACACCTCAAAGGAAAGAATGGGATCCATCTGTCTTATTCATTCTTGAACACACAACAGCTTACACCGAAATTACAAATACATATTTATTTATTGGGTAGATGAGTCAATGAACTATCATGGGGATATTGGAAAAGGTTCATATGACAGTCCCAGACTTTGGAACAAGGTTGCATCTGACAATGAAAGGATGAGATACAAAATAAAGTAGATCAGATTGGGATATAGAGGCCAAACAGAAAATGGGTAGCTGAGGAGATGGAGAAACACCCAAGCCCAGGCTAGGCTGACTGGAATGTGCCTAATTCATATGGCCTTTAGCGTTACTGCAAAACAAGGATGCAGAAATGTCAGCAGTGTGTTATATAACAAGTCTTTTTGCCACCCGTAATAAATGATCATGGCACGTATCCCAAAAGCTTTCCTCTCCAAAGGGAGCCTGGGATCCAAGTTGTCTGGATAATTTTAGCGGTGCCTCCTTTTCATACACGTCTGGAGAACAATAGTTCTCCCATGTTGTAGCTTTATTGTTCTTATTTGGCTGACGGTGAGAGGAACAGGGTAGGGAGTTGGGGCAAGTAGGTCAGCAACACATGCCATAAAGAACTAGAGATGAGAACACATGTTCTCATCAAAGGGCTCCTTCCCCCAATCTATCTTGAGAGTAGAAAATAACTCACCATTAAATATTAAATAAGTGGACTTACTACGATCACCCACAGTACAGTTTCTAAAATATACTCACACATATCCGAGCCGCCTAATTAATCAGAGGAAGTTGGAACCTCATAGCATTGTAAACAGCTCGAACAAGCTGGTTTTAAAGGAATTAAAGAAACGTGTTGATGGGAGCAAGTCAGTTGGGAGCATTCACGATAAGGACAAAATGTTCTCGAACGCATCGAGGCAGTTCTGTAGTGGAGAAGGAAGTGAACTTGGGCCTATTGGGAGATGAATGCCTTTCTCCAGAGTCCAAGCCTCAAAACTTCCCTTCTTGAACTGTCTTCGGAGCCTCTTATTTAGATCCAGTACCTACATTGTAGTTTGGGTTCCTCAGACTCTGCAAGGTGGAGCCAGTACAAAGGAGTAGCAAGTGACAGAGGAGGCCTGCAGGGAGAAAGGAGTGGGGTCCCCGATGGCCTGCAGAGTCACACACAGAGGAGAAAAATCATCCTGCTCATTTCTGCACAAAGTGAAAGAGGTGTAAAAGATCTGCAAATTCGTTCATTGTGACCACTTTTGTGAAGAACCTCCACATTTGCACTCAAACAGATTTCATAATTCTTTTGATAGCTTTGAGAATAAAATGGGTAAAAAGTTAACTTCCTTTTGGTTCTCTTACTAAGAGTAAATAAAGTTCAAATTTGCATGTTCTTGGTTAAGCCAGTTTCCCTTCCCGGGACCCAGTGATCAACTGTGTGAGTGAGAGAATTCAGTAAACATGAGGAAATGGGACCTGTTTGGGAACAAAGATCCCAAGGAGCTCTTCTCCAAAAAGAACCTAACTCTCCCTGACACCATCACAAGCCTCAGCTGGAGAGGCTTTCTTACCTTTGCAGGCAGGTGCTGAGCCACCAGGTGGGCCTGGCCTGACCCCAGAACTGCAGTGTGCTTCCCTTTCAAATAAACTAAGCTGAGCAGGAAGACAAGAAGAAAGATCATGTCCACTGTGAGCATGCAGTCAGGCTAGTTGGACTTCCAAACTCGGTTCCTCCAGCATCCCTCTAGGTTACCTTGTCTAAATTATATCCTAATTTGAGACCTTGGCTTCCCATTCTGTACAATGCAGATAATAATTTCACCTTTACCTTGTTTGCTGGTTCAGTATCAAACTGTCATCTGACCTCATGGCTGCATGGAGGGCATCTGACCTTCATGTAATATCAGACAGAACAACCAATATTTCCACTCAGTGCCTACTTTAAAAAGGAAATAAACTTTTTATCCAAACAACTTGAAAAAAAAAAAGACAAAACCAGTATTTCCAATAAATGTTTTTGGAATTTTCTCTTTATTTTTTTATTTTTTGGAGACTGAGTTTTGCTCTTGTCGCCCAGGCTGGAGCGCAATGGCACGATCTCAGCTCACTGCAACTTCCGCTGGGTTTAAGTGATTATCATGCCTCAGCCTCCTGCATAGCTGGGATTAGAGGCGCATGCCACCATGCCCAGCTAATTTTTGTATTTTTAGTAGAGACGAGGTTTCACCAAGTAGGCCAGGCTGGTCTCGAACTCCTGACCTCAGCTGATACCCGCACTGTGTTTGTGTTACCTGATGAAAAATAACTCTTTTGAAAATTGAAGCAACAATTTCAGAGCTTTTCCACTAATTATTAATGTATTATTTTACATCAAGACTTAACTCCAAGAGTCTATTTTGATTAGATGAATGCTTTCTAATTTATCAGTATTCTCTACTTTACCATCAATCACCTTCCCTAAGACAGTACAACTCAGGGGCTTCAACTGCCTCAGGTAGTGGGATGCTCCTTCCACCCTCTTTCAGCAGGGGTCTTTACCAGGAGTGATCTCAGAATATATGAAATGTCCTTTAGGGACTTGTTTAAAAACCTTTTGTGTACATAAATTCAGAGCAAAGAATAGCCTGTTCCATAAGCATCATGAGGCCTCAGAGATTATCTCATCCAATTACAGATGAGACAGTAAAGACTCACAGAGGTTATATAAATTGCCCAAATGTATACTGTTAATTGGTCATAAAACCAAGTTTGAAACTCAAGTTTTTTGAAACCCACTACAAGGCATTTTGCAATATATTATATTTATAGTCAATTAGGTTAATAAATATTTACTGAGTGCCTAGAAGGCAAAAAGAAATCATGCTAGGTGCTGTGAGGGATACGAAAATTAAAAAAATATATACTTCTAATCCCCAGGGACTTGATGCTATGAGAAGAAAGACATTCCTTTAATTTAAGGCAGCTTTAGAAAAACCAGTATTTCGGATTAAGCAGTAAAAGGTTGGGAAAGATGAAAAAAAGCTCCTCAGGAGACCTTTTTTTGATTAGACGAATGCTTTGTAATTTATCAGTATTCTCTACTCATGCCGCTGCATGCCAGCCTGGGCAACAGAGTGAGACTCTATCCAAAAAAAGAAAGGAAGAAAGAGAGAGAGAAAGAGAAAGAAAGAAAAGAAAGAAAGAGAGAGAAAGAAAGGAGAAAAAAGAGGGGAAAATAATAAACTTAGAACAATGTCCGAAGCATGGTGAATGCCAGGTACGTATTTGTTCAAAACATCCAATCTGACTGAAGGCAGGAGATCTTTCAAAAGATCCCTAGAAAGGCAAGGAATAGCTGTGAAAAGTTCCTATTGTATTGCTCAACTAAGAGGAAGACGAGAAATTCTCTGTTATTCATTCTGTGATGAATTCTTAAGAAAAAAATTTTGAGGTAGCATATCCTGGGTCATTGCTCCAACGCCCTTACTCACTTCTGCTAGCAGATCCCAACTGTGAGAGGTGAACCCTAGAATGCTCTTCACCCTGAGAGGATGGGTTTACCCTTGCTTGGAATCATAGTTTGCTCCTGGTAATGCACCGAAGTCACATGGAGCTTGATTCTTCATGGCTCAGAATAGATCCTGACCTCGCTGTGGGCTCCCCTGTGCTAATGGTTTCATGTACTCCCGATTGCATTACTACCAGGAATCGATTTTTCAGCTTTTTAAAAGCAGTCTATTTTGGTCATCCTTCCTCCACTCTTAGAAACGTATTTATTTCCCAGAATGTGTAGCCACTCTTAGACAAAGTAAATTCGGATTACTGAAATGAAAGCAATCTGCTGTCCAGTTTTCAGGAAAGCTGGTAGGTTTTCCTTGGAAAATGCTTTGTAGATCAAAGCAAAGGAAATTCGTTTATCTCGTGTGGAGGACCAAAGTGAAATAAACAATGTAAAATCTAACTGAGATTTGAGAACTTTAGTAAAGTCAGTCACATCCATAGAGCTCCAGTTCATACAGCAGCACTGCCAATATGGTACCTACAAGCCAACTGTGGGAGTTAAGCACCAGAAATACAGCTGATGTGATTGAGAAACTGAATTTCTAATTCTTCTACATCTTAACTTAAATTTAAAAACTGATACTCGATTCAGTTACAGAAAATCTTTTTAGGCTTGGGGAGATTTAAGGATGTGAATCTATTTAGTCAACTATATTTTGCAATCTAAATACATATCAGGTATTTCTGATAAGAAGTTAGCATCCAAATTAAGAGATGCTGTAAGTGTAAAATATACCAGATTTCATAAACTTAGTAAAGAAAAGAGAATGTGAAGTATCTCCTTAATATTTGAAATGATAATATTTTGGTTATGTTGGGTTAAATGAAATCTATTATTAAAATTAAGTTCACTGGTTTCCTCACACTTTTATTGAATGTGGTTTAGAAAAATTTAAATTACATATGTGGCTCATATTATGTTTGTATTGGACAGTGCCAATAAAGAACAATTCTAAATACATCAATCCATTTGTTCTTTACAACAACCCCATGATTTGGTCAAAATAGGTATTGTAATTTCTGTTTTATAGATATGAAAACTA